GGATCCTGGAATGTAACAAATGGTACTCATTCAAAATCAAGGGCGTTCAGAATTCAATTCGTTTTAAATTCTTAACACAACAAATCAGAGTTTGCGAATGAATGGATGTTTGTTTGAGCTTTAGCTGCTTTCCACATCACATAACCACGGGCGACATTCCATCCTGAGAGTCCAGCAGAGGAATGGAAGATACTTATCAGCTCAAGTTACGATCAGATAGAGCAATTGTAGCTTATTGAAGTGGCAGGTTTATGCTGACTGACAGAAGGCTCAAGGTCTTGTGTTTAAGGTAGTAAAAGTGTGATCAAACAACAACCTTGAGTTCATTGATCTCAGCCAAAGCCTCCAATGAATGCAGTTATAATAATAATTATCCTTGCATTTGCTGATGTGCCTTATCATTCGTCAAGACACCTGAAAGAGCTTCAAAGGATATACTGTAAAGTGGAGTGACTGTGGATCTGGTGGATGAAACACGGCAGCCAGTTGCGCACAGCAGCGTCCAGTAACTCTCCCAGTAACAATCCTGCCTCCTCCGATTTAAACAGCAGCATTGATGAAATCCCAAATTGGGCACATCTGCATGAACCTGAGCGTTTCAAATGTGAGCTCATTTCCAATGCCTTTAACAGCCTCACAGGAATGAAGGAATATAGGAGCTGGAGAGGGCTATTTGGCCTCATTATTCAAACGATTACAAATACCTAATTGGCGCAAAACAGGGCAGCGGTGAACTGGAAAGTGAAACTAAATGGTTGCTCAAAGATGCTGACAAAACGAACAGAAGAATCGTAATTAGCTTGGCACACTGCACTCTCAGAAAGATCGTTGAGTGATTAAAAATCGTAAACGTTAGCTGCTTAATGCCACCAGCCGCATTTATTTTCTGTCAGCTGAATTTCTTAATATTTGATCTTAAAAAAAAATGTTTGGGTCATAATCGGTCACCTGGGGCTGCTTTGAAGATATCTAGCATAACAGCTGACTTCCAGCTCTGTGTCCGCCGGTTTATCTTTTTCTCCCATTCTAAGTGCCTCGGTGGCTTTTTCTGTGCTCATTGTTGGAGCGATAAAAATACAAACACAATTCTCTGAAGCCAGTGGCTCGCTCCAACCCAACCTGCTATTGTGCGAATCATATACGTGTCAGTTGCGGGTAAATGCTTTGAATGGGGCTGTCTGTATTCCACTTGCATCAGTGTGAAGCTACAGCAGAATATTGAGAGCTTCCCAGCCACTGGCCGATTTCAATTCAAAGCATCCTTAACAAAACAACCTTGCATCCACGGGCAATCATGCCAGTAAATACTACTATTGATCATTGCAATGGGTGATTACCAGCCTGTGTTTTCAAAGGAAATCAGGCCACAACAGCTCCTGCCATCCAAAACATTTCAGTGCGATAATTCAACCTCACTGGTACTCAACCAGTGATAATAATTTGGATGTGCCACAATGCACTGAATGCTTTTCAGAACCGATAGTGAAATTCTCTTACGCTTGCCTCACATATTATTGTATGAACGCATCTTGTCAAAGATTTCACTGTACTGTCCCTCACATCTGCCTCTGTGTCCTTTGTTTGCATCTGTGGTCAAATGCAGAGGCAGAGATTGATGTATTTGTGGAGTCCTGCAGCTCAGTGGTTAGAGCACTCGTCTTGCAAGCGAGACACCTGGGTTCAATTCCAGGCAGAGCGATACCCTGGGCAAGTTTCCTTACTCCACACGCCTGATAATAATCCCTCTAAAACAATAATACATTGGTCATTTTCATTCCACGACTGTTTGTGGGACACTGCTGCACAAATATACAGTCAATTCATTTTACAGTCTGTTCTGTGAAGCGCTTTGAGACGCCAAGAAGACATGAAAAGCGCTATATCAAAAGCAAGGATTATTATTATTATTCGATTTATTTTAAGGTGGTGCGGGGGGGGGGGGTGTGGGTGATGCGAATTCCAATTCCATAAAACTTCATTTGTTTTTTTCTTTAACAAACAACAAAATGACATGTGTAAAGCGCTTTTTACGTCGGGAGGACGTCCCAAGGCGCTGGACAGTCAGAGATAGGGACCCGAGCTGAGGGGTCGGGGTGGGGGAGAGAGAAGGGCAGGGGAGGGTAGCAGGAAGATCAAAAGCATGTTCGAAGAGGAGGGTCTTGAGATGGGTCTTGAAGGTGGCGAGGGAGAGGGGGAGGCGGAGGAACTGCGGGATGGAGTTCCAGAGGGTGGAGGCAGAGTGGCGGAAGGTCCGCCCGCCAATAGTGGGGACGTGACGCAGGCCGGAGCCCGCACAGCCCGCAGCAACGTACAACTCGACCTCATGCAAAAAGCAACACCTGAGAGTGCTTTGCACAATAATGTTTGCTGAACGAGGCGGTTAAACTGCTCCGGCAACACTGAAACAACAACTTGCATTTACACCGCGCCCCTCGTGCAGAGTAGCGTGCCGGAGCGCTCGACAGTGGCGGAGCACGACACCAAACCATGAGGGTGGGGGGGATGGAGGCGGGAGAGGTGACCGTAGGCACAGTTGAACAGGAAGGACTTCAGGCGCGACTTGAAGATGGGGAAGGAAGGGGCAAGGCGGAGGGATAGAGGACGAGCGCTCCAGAGTTTCGCAGTGGCTGAAACAATCTCTATGTCTGTAAAATTGTACAGGCAAAGTTGCTTCAAATTAATCAGGATTAACGTCTGGACGCAGACGTTTCTGGCTGCCTGGGGAAGGTCTGTACAGCCCAGAGATAAGAGAAGGGTTTGACACGCTGCCCACCCTCAAAATATTATCTGGCATTGCTCAAGTCAGAAGGAGGTGTTGTTTAGCTTGCGGCCTCTGGATATGGTAATCAGAGGCTCTGGGGCAGTGCTCTCTGGGGTCAATTCTGGAATATAAATATGATATGATTTAGGGTATGAAGCTTACTCATGACAAAGCACTGTTTTTCTCAATAAAGATAATAGCTTTGGGATACAGTGAGACAGGGTATATCCTGGGCCCCAATACGCTATTGAGACAGCTTTGGGTTGGTTCTGTATTCCTGGGATTTGACACTATTTTCTTCTTAAAGTGCATTAGTTCAGCCATCCACAGCATTCCTTCCACGGCAAGAGTGCTACATCACTCTGCGGATCAGAGATAATCTCAAACCTGGTTCTGATTTGTTACAAAATCGGGCAAACGAGATGCAGATTGAGGCCACACGCTGATAATAAGACGGAGTACAATCGAGACGTGAGTTGAAAGAGGCTCTGAAGGCTATGAGTGATGTGAGTTTAATGTTGTGGAAGTCGTCTCTTGGTAGCATGATATTAAAGTCCGGCAAATGACAGATATAAAGGCTCATCAGCAACAGATATCACGCTGAGAGAGCAGGGTAAGCACTCCCACACTGCCTGCAAGTACAATTTGCCTCACATTTCTTATTCATGTGCCATCTCTGCACCATGACTGCCCTAAATGTCCACATAACAGAGCCTACCTTAGGCCAGAGTTGTATTTATCAACATAACATCAAACTCATGAGTGAACACTTTATTTACTGAGACAGAAGAAAGGGCCTGTCAACGCAGCCACATTTTTGGAACAAAGTTTTGGTGATGGTGAGGGCTCTCTGTCAGCGTTCATGCAATGTAATGCTTATATTGCCTTAGACTTTTAGAGTAAATGACCCATTTTTAAAGAGAGAGGATCATCAGAATCCCGTTTACATATTAGTTACAAAGATGTAAAATGTTTAATGCACGCACATACATGCAAACGCAAACACACACACACACAGTTATAACATGAGCAGAATCTTTGGCCGATTTTTGCTATCCCTAACACTGAGGCCAAATGTAATGCCCTCCCAATCATTCCTTGGACCTTCCAGATCAGTATGGTTCTGGAGAGGAGGGTTAATGATCAAAGAAATGTTGGAGAACACTTTTAAATTAAAACTTAATCTGAAATGTTTGCACGATTCTATGAGATCTTAAAATTTTCAGACAAAGTGTTCTTCAATGCAAAGTCCCCCCACCCACCGCCTGGTTAAGCATTAACCTCCTGTGCATTGGGTAAAACTGGACCCTTATTATAATAATAATAATCCTTGCATTTGATATAGCGCCTTATCACGTCTTCGAGACGTCTCAAAGCGCTTCGCAGAATATACTGTAAAGTGAATTGACTGTATATTTTGGGGGCGAAACGCGGCAGCCAATTGCACACAGCAGCGTCCCACAAACAGTCGTGGATTGAGTGACAAAATTAGTATTATTTATTTAAGGGATTATTACCACCGAAAAGCGATCGACTGACAACCGGACTCTTACTTACTGCCAGATAAACAGGGGCATGTGTATGGAGTAAGGAAACTCGCCCAATGTTTCATTTCGCCTCGCCTGGGAATCAAACTGATGGCTCTCCTTTGTGAGGCAAGTGCTCTAACCACTGAGCTACGGGACTCCATGTGCAAGAGATTCAAATTCCCCTCCCCTCCAAATGTGCTGACTTACTGAAGTCATGAATCCCTGAATGAGGTTAGCAACTAGGTAAGTAATCCCCGACATCAAACATGTGCCTAAGTGTTTAAACCAGTGACTCTTGTCACCTTCCCCCAAGACCTGAAGAAATGACCTTTCTTCATTACAGAAGCTGTTAAAATGTGACTCATTCCTCCGCAGTTACTGATCTGCAGATTTCAATTCAGCGAAAGCCAGGGCTTGTATTTTTTCAGCCTCGTGTCAATATTGATACGAACCGTGAGGATTTATCTTTTTGCTAATATACAGGAGCTGGCTCGTGGTGCCAAATTCCCTGGACCTCCCCTTTCCTTTGTGGAAACAGCAGAAGATGAATGAAAGTGCAAACATTGTGCAATCAGGCCATTAAATCTCATCATGTAAAGCTCATGGGTCACATAAAGGAGTAACGCATTGAGGTTGTCACTCGAAAGTGTTCTTCAGTTCAGACAAGCATGACCAAAGAACATGAAGGCAGGGGATGTTTGACAGCTCACCTTGCCAGTGATGTTTGTAATCACATGTCCTAGACAAAGCGATCATCACGGCACAGTACAGAGGAAGGATGGCAGCACACAGTCTCCAGCTCTTTCCTTGGCCAATGTGTGTGAAGCAGTGTAGCTTCCCAGCCAAGTAGAAGGCAGTGAAACCCAGACCCGAGAAAGCAACTGGGGAAAGGAAAGAGAAGAAAAGGTCAATGAATGTTAATGAGTTTTTGTTTCATATTCACCTGCGATTTTACTCTGATTTTTATATTTACGTTTGCTAAATGCCTGTGAATATCTGTGAGCATTCAGTGAGATTCTAGAGGGATATTCTGGCCAGCGCAGGATACAATCACTCATTCACCAAGGTCAACAATCTCACCGACAATCGGTAAATCGCTGCTGAAAATTCCTTTGAACCAGTTTTCCTGTTTGTTTGGGAATACATTTCTCGTGTTATATCTTTAGCTGACAGAATTTGGTGAAATAAACTTTTCGTTGGATGCAGCGCCTTGCACGACAGGAAAATGTCTCAAAGTGCTTCTTCGGATTTACTGTAAAGTGCAGTGACTGTGTATTTTGTAGGTGAACACAGCAGTGCTACCAATTCAGCAACGCCAAAACTTTCCAAGCTTACCAGAGGTGGGATTATTATTAATCATAGCATTGCAGCTAATATACAAAAGTAAACTTCGCATCACCTGGTTTGCCTTTGCCCCAATGTTTCACAGGATCTCTGAGAGATTTGTTAGTGAAAATATGTGAAGATGCTCCTGCATTATTTATGCTCTGCTTCTGCTCTGCCTCAGTGAACAACCCTGCTTTGAAGTCATCTAACAATAGGAAAAAGCTGCCGCACTAATAGAATCCTGCAGGTGAATTAAAGCTTTGTAGTTAAAGCTTTCTAAGACAGACAATCAAAAGTATAATCATCCTTCTCGGCTTTTATCATCACGATTTTTTGGGGTGCGCGGTAGGGGTATAAATAAGTATAAATATTTAATCGTAAAAAACAGTACATTTTTAGAACCATAGAAATTTACGGCTTATGAGAAGGTATTTCGATCAATTATGCCTGTGCTGGCATATATTTCAGCTATTGAAGAATTTCATCCTTGGTTAGACTGCTCATGTCCAGAGTTCTGTAGTGCTCTATGCACGTCAAGAGAATAGTCTACATATCAAACAAAATGCAGACTCAGTTTACGGGGAGGAGATTGATGTGTTTGATTGATATATTTTACTCAGTCCGTAACGATTTGACCTCTTCTATGTGAACTGAAACCAACGTTGGGGCAAAATAAAGGCAAAACACTGCAGGATCCTGGAAATCTGAAATAAAAACCGAAGTCCCTGGAAACGCTCAGCAGATCAGGAGAGAGAAAGTGAGTTAACATTTCAGGTCGATGACCTTTCGTCAGAGCTGTTCTGAGTGTTCCCAGTAACTTCTGTTTTTTGTTGGGGGCTAATTACTTCTCCTGAAAATGCTACATGTCTCATTTTTGTTCGTTTCATACGATATCTCTGGACTTGCGCAAATGTATTCAGAGAAGCATAGAATTATACAGCACAAAAGGAGGCCATTCGGCCCATTGAAAAGAACTACCCTAAAATAACAATAATAAATTGGTCACTTCAATCCACGACTGTTTGTGGGACATTGCTGTGCGCAATTGGCTGCCGCGTTCGCCCACAAATATACAGTCAATTCGCTTTACAGTGTGTTCTGTGAAGCGCTTTGGGACGTCCTCCCGACGTGAAAAGCGCTATATCAAATGCAAGGATTATTATTATTATATCAAATGCAAGGATTATTATTATTATTATTACCCAAATCAAACCCACTCACCCGCTCCCTCTCCATAGCCCAGTAAACTTGTCCACGCCAAATAATTATTTAGTCGCTTCGATTGGGCACTCACTGGTTGATTTGAAACTGATGAAACATGTGAGAATGATAAAAGGTCCACAAAACTCTCAATGCAGGGGTGACAAATGCCAAATTTCGCAATTCCGCAACTGATTCTCTAATGATCTAATGTGTAAAGACACTGGTTTCTATTCACAAGGTGACAGTTTAGGATCTTTTTTCCTGTAAAAAAAAATAAAAGGGAGAAAACCAGGGGACAAATGTAACAAAGAAAATAGGTGTTTTGAGTGAAATTGGATTTATTTTGGAAAATCCGCTTAGAGTATGCATTTAGAAACCCACTTCACTGCATTGTGAGTGCACAGGCAATGCAATGTATGTACGGGTAAGTTTATTCTTGGAAGCACATTTTTGTGCATATCCCTGGAATCAATGTTGCAGGGAAGCAGGTTTCAGCGGGAAATTCAGGTGAAATCTACTCAAGTTGTAATATTTCGAGATAAATAATTGCCATTTACAAACCCGACAGTGCAAAGGTAAGGCCGAGCAAAATAACCATCTCAAAGTTTACTTACTTTAAACCCACGTTCTTGATTTAATCTTAAATATTTATATGTTTATATCCTGTGAAGCGCTTTGAGACGTCTTGAAGGCGTGGTAAGGCGCTACACCAAATGCAAGGATTAATATTATTATTAAATAGTTTCCTTTCATCGCATTATTCTAAAAACCTGGATGATGTCCCTCTCCATTGAACCATAGAAATGTACGGCACGGAAGGAGGTCAATAGATCCAATTTTTCATATTGGTGTTTGCCCCTCCGAGAAGCCATTTATCCTAATCCCATAAAATAATATCTGGGGATACAGTTTGGGACACAACATCTCAAGCCAGGATGGTGGAAGGTGAATTAGATGGAACTTGGTCTTCTTCCGCCGACAAATTCTTATGCTTTTATGTTCTTCCGAAACATTGAATGTTTAATTGCCATTGAGACGTGTCTAAGATCAAGTACCAGGGCTGCCTATCAGACTTTCTCATTGATCTCAGTTGGTTGAACTCTGCCAGCGTCTAATACATAGCAGGAATGCCATACAGAGTGAGAATTTCTGCATCTCAGAGGGAAAGACTAAATGACCCAGAGTGACTTGCCTCTTTGAATTGCATTTCCCGCTGTCTCATCATGCAAGTCCTTGGCAATGACTTTGCAGTGTCTCATGCTGGTTCGTAAGTCAGGCAGATTGGAGCAAAATAAATAGTTCACTGAAATATCATAGAATTATACAGCATATTCGGCCCATCGTGTCTGTGCCAGCTCTTTGAAAAAAGCTATCCAAATCAATCCCACTCCCCCGCTCTCTTCCCATAGTCCTAGTAAACTAGTCCTCCCCAAATAATTATCTAAATAAATTTCTTAAAAGCACTTCATTAAAGAATATTTAGCTAAAATTATTAATTTGCAACAGGATCCTGTGGAAGATCACATTTTTTAATTATAAACTTACATAATGTACTATAAATATAGTCTTTACTTTGATTTCAGTTCAAATAATCGTTTGAATGGTGAATTGTCTCTGGAGCTTTCTAAAGAGTATCCTGTCTCCTGGGAGCTGTGAAAAGGATCATCTGTAAGTTTTGAATGATCTGAAGCAGTAATACTGGAAAGCGTGCCCTAATTCATGTTAAATTTAATTCTTTGATCTTAGGTTGTGATTTTACTTTCCGTGCAGAAATACTAAAAAGCTCGAACAAAATCTATACAAGGTAAGACGCAACCCTTTCTGCTTGATCACACGGAAATAAACCTATAAGCCCGGGAATTTGAATGGAAATAAAAAAAGCCACAAAGGAAAAAAATAAGTAAAGAATACTGTACAATGGATCCATTTAACTGAGGGCTACTTCAGATTTACATTCAGACCAGCTGAAAGCAGTAATTTATGAAGAGGAAGTGTACTCCTGATTTGTCCAGATGGGACCAGCTAGTTGGCACAAGTAAATTCATCTGACCAAATGGATTTAACTGGCAGCAAGGCAAAGGCTGCTTCTACTAGGATTATTGATATTCATGTCTTATGTCGGCTTGCTTCTGCAGAATTTTTAATGGTTTTATTCAACAATTAACTACTGTACTACACATGTGTCGTTTATTCACCGGGGAAGGTGGCTGGCTTCATCTGCAGAGAATCGAGACATCTGTGCAAACAGCTCTGCGTGCCAGACACCTTCTCTCACCCTTTTTACACAGATTTATTCACTTACTATTGATCTGCGCGGAGATGTCACAACAGTGTCATTCCGGGAATCTACAGCAGACAAATCTTCGCTGATAGAAGCGTGAATGAAATAATAAAAGTCATCACTACATACAGAATTCAAAGTGATGGTTATTGGGAGCATTATGGCCTTGATAAGTAGGATCATGAATGTCTATGGGAAAAGATCACAGCCTTTGAACGTTCAATCTGTGGTCCACTTCAACACAGTAGAGTTGCCCTTGGTGCTTTGCTATCAAGCTTAACGGTAGGAATCTTCAGGGAGAAGAAGTGCTGGGAAAGGGAGAAGAGTTCAGCGTCACTGCACAGACACTTCATTCTGACTGATCAGCAGGTCAGTGTGTAATGTTAGAGGGCAGTGAACTGGTGTACACTGTGATTTTTATTCATCTAGTTGATCAAATGCAATTACATATAGGGGCTAAATAACTGCGTTTTTGTTTCAACCTCTACTGGAGTCCTGTAGCTCAGTGGTTAGAGCACTCGCTCGCAAGCGAGAGGACCTGGGTTCGATTCCCGGGCAGGGGGCGAAACCTTGGGCAAGTTTCCCTACTCCACACGCCTCTGTTTACCCGGCAGGAAGCAGGAACCCGGTTGTTAGTCGATCTGATAGTGCTGCTGTTCTGCTTCCTGCCTTCAAGCCTAAAAAGGTAATCTGGACTGCACTGGAACGGAACAGAATTCCGGATGTTTAAATTGATTTACAATATTTCCTCCTCACCAACATCATTCCTACCATCTCCCCGCAACCTGAGAGCTCTTGTAAACCAGCATTTTATAAACGATTTTTTTTGAGGAATGATCCTAATTTTTGGGGACCCAAATGTTATTTATTTAGCATTTAACGACGACAGCAACAACAATTTGCATTTATATAGGGCCCTTCATGTGGGGTAGCGTCCCAGAGTGCTTGACAATGGCGAAGTCTGAGCCCGAGCCAGGGGGAGAGGGTGGGGGAGTGGGGGTTGACCCCCATCTCTGCGGCTGACATCGCCAAGAGGGAGCTCGTAGACAATTTAACAATGACTGGTCGATA